AGGCTCCCCGCTGAGCAGGGAGCCTGATGCGGGGCTCAATCCCAGGGCCCTGAAATCATGACCTGAGCTGGAGGCAGATGCCCAACCATCTGAGCTACCCAGGTGCCCCTGTCCCTCACATTCTAAACATGTTTCTTTGGTCCTTGTTCAGGGACCCTCGTTCCTTGGAAGCTCATGTCACCCGACCGTTTCATCACTGCTTGTCTTCACGGCTGTCCGTCATCCTTTGGTCACCTGCTCACTTGTGTCATTCAGGAACCACTGTACTTGCTGACTCACTTTCTCTTCACCCTTGTTTCTGTTGTTACTTTTTGGGGCAAAGCCATCCGTGCAGGTGATTGATCCAGTGTCCTGGTCTGCCAGGTGCCTGGCCTTCACACCGCCAACAGCCATTGTCTTCGCTGACCTTGGCCTCTCACTTCCACGGTCACTTCTGAAATTTTATGTTTCCATGACCTTGACTGATCTCTCTCAGGTGTCCTGCTTTAAAATTCTTTTGGTCCCATACCTTTTTCATTGGATAGTGAAAACTGATTACTTCACTTCTGTCCTTACCCAGTTTAGTTTTTATACTCATTCTTTTATAAACAATCTTCAATTGCCTTGCCTTCCAGTCCCTTTTCTAACCCAAATGGTCAAACCCCAAGCCAGGTTGAAACCTACCACTTGCCTTCCCATTTGCCTGCTGCTTGCTCTTTGACCCTGGATTCCTTACCACAGGCCCAGGTGTGCACTCAGGCGTGCCCAGCAGTGTCCAGCATTCTTGTGTAAGTTCCCTTTCTCGCTCTCCAAGATCACTATTGAATACTCTTTCTCCCTGCTCCTTCCTCCAGCTATCTTAGGAAGCTGCCAGAGATCTTGTATAGTGTCCTCCACCCCATCTACACATCCTCTCCATCTCTTATGCTGCAGGAGACCTCGGGTCTGAGTCCTGTCAAAGCCACTCTGCATGCTCTGGAATCAGGGGCTTTGTCTCTGTTTTCTGTGTCTCTCTCTCGGCCTTGTTAGTCTCTTCACCTCCACTAGATTGTTCTCTAAACTTATAAACATGCCTTGAAATCATCCTGTTCAAAGGAACAGGAAAAGCAAGTAAGAAACAAATGTTTCTTTTATTCTGTATGTTTCAGCTGCTGCTTCATTTTTCTGTTCTCTTTTCTAGCTAGTCTTTTTGCTGTGCTTATCTCCCCTCCCATTGGCCCTTAATATTTTTTTACACTGTTTAAAAAAATTGAGGTAAAATTCATGTACGTCCGATTAACGGTTGTAAAGGATACAACCCAGTGGTGTTCAGTACACTCACAGTTCTGTGCAAGCACTGCTTATTTCAGAGTGCCCCTTTTATATGTGTTGGTACACTTGTTCATTTTTCAGACTGGTCACTTTCCAGCTGATCTGTGTTCATGTTTGCTGGTTTTTCTGCCTGCTCAAATCTACTGAAACCCTCTAGTGAAATTTTTAGTTCAGTTATTAGACTTTTCAGATCAAGAATTTCTTTGTTTCCTTTCTCTAATTTCTGTCTCTGTGTGTTGATGTTCTCAATTTGTTGGGACATTGTTCTCCTGGTTCCTTCAGCTCTTGGAGCATATTTAAGACCATTGACTTGAAGTCTTTATCTAGTAAGTCTTTATCTAGTAGGTCTGTGTTTCCTCAGGGATGGTTTCAGTTGATTTCTCACAACTGAAATAGGCCAGAAGTGAAGTAAGCAGTTTTCGCTATCCAATGATAGGCCTATCATGACCTGAGCCTAAGGCAGATGCTCAACTGACTGAGTCATCCAGGTGCCCCAAGTTTCCTTTTTCTTGATTCAGTGTTTACTTGGTTCTTGTAAACCTTTGTCAGAACTCTGGGAATTAGAGTTCAATCTGTTGGTTTTTACTTAAGTTTTGGTTGTTTCTATGGGAGAACGGGCCCTTTGAGTTACCTACTCTGCCATTTTTGCTGATATCAGCCTTGGGTCTTAACGTTTAAACAAACTTAAGTAAAAAAAAAATTTTTTTTAAATCAAAAGTAACACTTGTACATTTAAACCCTCAAATAGTGCTTCTAGGCTTATAATTAAAAACTGTACTTTCTTGCCTTATTCTAATTCTTATTTTCCCAGGGCAGTCATTCTCAATTCTAGCTTTTTCATCAGATATTTACCTCTATATTCCTAACTAATAGGCCCTTCTTGCTATTTCTTGATTTTTAAAACACTTCAGAATCTCTCTGTCTCACATAGACACACACACACAGTATCACTTCTTCTCTCATTTTCTTGGTACAGTTGTATCACACCTTCTGGCCAGACCCTGGCTTGTTGTGTCATAATTGTGACCATGTACATGCTCCCATCTGTCCTGTGTTCTGTGGTATTCCGTGTTCATTCCTACACATGTATTTCCCTTAGATAGCGGCTACATCTGCTTTGATTTCTCTATAACTATCACTAATTGATTCCAAAATTCTAGTGGAACTGAAAATTATTTTTCAGTGTTCTGTAGTTTTTATTGATTTCTTGGAGGCTTCTCATGAGTCCTTTCTCCTCCACGTCCTTGGAGGCGTGGCTGCTCTCCAAGACTTGGTGTGGGTGAAGTCCTTCCTTTGACTGGCTTCCTGGGTTGGATTCCCTGATTCTGGTATCTTCTATCTTCTTATTTCTTGGTTGGCTCTTGTTTTTGGAGCACATTCTCCAGTAGGTCTCTGAGAAGGGGTGTTTTGGAAGTAAATTTCCAGAATTTTTGTATCTGCATGTCTTTATCCTGCCTTCATAGTTGATTGATGCTTCACTGAGTAAAGTTCTAGCTTGGAGTAATTTTTATTTTTTTTTTTCCAGAAAATTGACCACATTGATCCCCTGTCTTCTAGTTAGAGTATTGCTTTTGGGAACTTCAGTTTAACTTGATACTGAATTTGTATTATAAGATCCTCTTCTGCCCCTCTCAGAAACTTTAGAAACTTTGAATAAAATCCCTCTATCTATTCTTTGCTCTGTTTTTTCCCCCAAATTTTCTGCCTATCTTTCTGCTTTCTCCTCTCACACAGAACATTTATTTCTAATTTATCTGTACATGAGAAATGCAGCCTCATGGGGTCCCAGCTTTGACTTTGGTCTTCTGAGACTTCTGAGACTTTAGTCTCTCCTCCCAGTATTGTCTCCTTGACTTAGCCTGCTCTTCCCTGGTCCTATCCAGCTGTCAGTTAGGTTCTCCAGAGTTCAGCAGATACTCTCAGCTCCATCTCTCACTTATCTCTTAGGATTCCCTTTTTAGTTCATATTTGTCCTCTTTGAATTAGTAATATGTTTGCCAACTCAGTGATACATTTAAAATTATGCTATTAAAATATTCTGTTATTCAGTGTTATTTTCCATAGGAGGGGTATTCAGTATCCTCTGCCCTGCAGCTGGGAGCAGAAATCCCAGGTCATGCTCACCCACTCTGGTTTGGCTCTCTGCCCCACAGTGCTGCTCTTTCCTAGGTCCCAGGACATCGTGTTGTCAAGCCCCATGGACATTTCTCTGTCTTCATTTTACTTGCCCTCTCAATAGTATTCGATACCGCTCCTTCTTTGAATCACTCTCTTCTCTTGACTTTCACGATACTATTCTCATGGTTTTCTTCCTTTCTCACTTGGGATCATCCATCCTTAACTAACCTCTACATGGTGGAAAGATTCAGGGCTTGGTGAGAGGTTCTTTTCATTGTTGATACTTTTTTCCTGGATGGGCTTATCTAGTTTCATGGCCTTAAGTTCTGTCTATATGCTAGTCATTCCCAGGTTTATATTTCCAGCTCTGAAGTTTATCCTGAATTTTGGTCTCTTCTGTGCATCCTCTTTAAAATCTCTGCTTGGATGTCTCAGGCATCTCATGCTTTACAAATTCAAAATGGAGCTTTTCATTTCCACTCTCTTGGTCTGTTTCTCCCCAAATCTTTCTCATCTCAGTAAACAGCACCACCATCTCAGTTACTTAAAGAAGAAACTTGAGGGGCGCCTGGGTGGCTCAGTTGTTAAGCGTCTGCCTTTGGCTCAGGTCATGATCCCAGGGTTCTGGGATCGAGCCCCGCATTGGGCTCCCTGCTCAGCGGGAAGCCTGGTTCTCCCTCTCCCACTCCCCCTGCTTGTGTTCCCTCTCTCGCTGTATCTGTCGCTGTCAAATGAATAAATAAAACCTTAAAAGAAAAATTATTAAAAAAAAGAAGAAACTTGAGAGCCATGCTTAATTCCTTCCTTTTCCTTATTGTTGCATTTAGTTCCTCACTAAACCTGGTTGGCTCTGAGTCTCAAACAGAGGTCAGGAAACTTTTTCTGTTGGGTCAGTTGGTACATATTCCATCTTTGTGGGTCATATGGTTTCTGTTGCAACTATTAATTCTGCCACTGTATCACGAAAGTAGCTACAGATGATCTGCCAGTGATGGTTGCCTTTAGATTTGGCCTGAGGCTGGCTGCACTTGGCTTGTGGGCCATAGTTTGCTGACCTCTAGCCTGAAATATCTCAAATCTATCCAGTGAACTCACAATTTGGGAGGTTTGCTACTTTGAACAATGTGTTTCTGAAACATTGATGTTCCAGGAGGAAGAGCCCTTTGAGAGCACCAGTGAGGAAGAGTCTGGTACTGAAGACCATCAGAATCTAAATTCTGTTGTTGATGTTGAGGACCTTGGCAAAATTATGAATTATGTGAAGAAAGAAAAGGTACTGTAACTGGGAAGGAGTGGACTTGGATCCTGCAGTTAGCTAACATCTCTTGCATTCTGTATTGGTGTGTGGTCCACCTGAGCTCATTAGGCAGTCTTATTTCTTTGCCTCCATCTTGAGAGTGTTATATTTCTTTGCCATTTTTTAACAATTTGTTAAAAATTTTAGTTTAAATTCTTTTAGAGAGAGAGAGTGCGAGCAGGGGAGGCGGGAGAGGATGGGCAGAGAGAGAGAGGATCTCAAGCAGGCTCCACACCCAGGGCAGAGCCTGACGCAGGGCTGGATCTCAGGACCCTGAGATCATGACCTGAGCCTAAATCAAGAGTTGGATGCTTAACTAGCTGCTGCCCCACTTCTTTGCCATTTTTACGTGAGCTTCGATAGGATATGATAGGCAGATTTTAGGGCAGGAACTGAGGAAAGGGTAGATGGTTAGAGGGGCTTCATTCAGTATTGTGGCTGAAGAGGTGGGATGAAGAAACTGAGTGTGTTGAGATTCCAAGTGGAACTCTCTTAAAGTTGCTTCCTGTCATATAGACTGAGTGGTGTTGGGCTTAGGGACAGCTCCTTGGTTTGTAGGTGCTGAGATCAGCATAGGAGGCTCTAGGAATCTAGGAGATGTTAGTTTGGGTTGTCATTGTCACTGCGAGATGGGTGTGAGAATGTATAGTGTGGTAGGATTTTACACAGATTCCAGTGATCTGAAATTAAAATAGTCTAATATACACAATAGCATAAAAGTATATAGACCTAATTTATGTATGAGTTTTGGGAAATGAGAATATCCTACTAAAAATGTACCAAGTGCATAAGTTTTAGAAACAAAAGAAGTAAAACTATGGAAGAATCCAAGAAAATCAATGATAAAATTAACACAAACTCAAATGAAAGAAATCAGTAAGGTAGCAGGATATAGTAATATATTTCCAAACAATAACCAGTTAGAGGCCATAGTGGAAGAGAAGACCCCCCTCTACAGCAGCTATATAAAAGATAAATAAGTATGTAGAAATAAATTTAAAAAGAAATATCCTGAAATCTCTGTGATGAAAACTGAAAACATTCCTGAAAGATCTAAAAATGTCTTGAACAGACATACCTCTTGTTTTTAGATATGGTGACTCAGTGTTCTAAAGATGCCGATTCTCTTTAATACATAAATCTGATAAAATCCCATTAAAAGTTTCAATAACTTTTTTTTTTTTTTCCTGGAGCCACACTCATTGATTCATATGGAAAAATAAACATGCGAGAATGGTTAGGAAAGCCTTGATACAGTAATAAGAAAGACTAGTCCTACTAGATATTAAAACTTACTATAAGGCATCTGTAATTAAAAGTGTTTTGGCTCCTTTTGAGACAGATCGATGCAACAGAATAAAATTTCAGGAATAGACCCAAAAACATATGGGAATTTTGTATATAATAAATGTGGTATCTCTTTTCCCTGGGGGGGGGGAAACATACTTTTAAGATAGGTGATGTTGGCAACTAGATAGCTACCTGTGAAAATTTAAAATTGGCTTTGCCAATTTGTCAGAATAAACTCCACTGGGTCAGAGATCTCAATGTAGAAAAAAATTTATAAATAACAGAGTTAGATGCATTATTTTATATCTTGGAGAAAGGTGTTCTGTATGATTCAAAATCTAGAAGCAGTAAAAGATTGAATTTACCAATGGTTTTTAAAAAAGATTTGTGTGGTTATAAGCATATCAAAAGACAAATGATGAAGAGGGGGAAATATTTGCCCCTTATATAAAGAAGGAGTCAATTTTTCCACTCTACAAATTGCTCTTAAAAGTTGAAAGAAAAAAGACCTAAGACCTAATGGAAAAAATTGTCCAAAACACCTAAGTAGGCAAGTCTCTAAAAAAACTCTACAAATAGACTTTAAGCATATGAAAAAATGCTCAAATTTACTCATAATGAAGGACATGCACATTAAAACTACACTGATATTTCTCACCTACCAAAATAGCAAAAGTTCAAAAACTGGACAGCATGCATAGCTGGTGAAGCTCTGGGAAAACAGGTACTCACACCTTGCTGATGGGAGTCCAGAATGGTGTAACCTGTGTGGAGGGGCTTTTGGCAGTCTACCAAATTCTCGTGCATTTACCCATGATCCAGCAGGCCCAGTTGTGTGAATTTGCCTCGAAGGTACATCTTCACAAATACAAAACAGCAAACACACGAGGTTATGCTAAAAGCATACGTAGCAAACAACTGCCAGATATTGGTTGAAAAAAGCATGATATATCCACACTATATAGATATTGCTGTGCAGCTGTGAAAAATAATAAGGTACACGTGTGGGGGTGCTTGGGCGGCTCAGTCAATTAAGCATCTGAGTCTTGATCTCAGCTCAGGTCTTGATCTCGGTTGTAAGTTTGAACCCTGCCTTGGGCTCCGTACTGGGCATGGAGCCTACTTTAAAAAAAAAAAAAAAGGTGGATCCATGTGTGTTAATGTGATTTTCATGTGGTGTTGGATTTCATTTGGGAGTTGACCTGAACATAAGATTTTTTTAAAAAAATGTGTTTATTGTCATGGCACATTTGCAAATTTATAATTTGAGTGTGTATGTGTGTATAAATAGTATTTTGTAGCTGTGTTTACAGAAAGAACCTTTCATGTTCTTTTTTTTTTTTTTAAGATTTATTTATTTATTTGAGAGAGAGAGAGCATGAGCAGGAGGGGCAGAGGGAGGGGGGAGAGAATCTCAAGTAGACTCTGTGCTGGGTGTGGAGCCTGACATGGGGCTGACACGGGGTTCGCTTGATTTCATGATGGTGGGATCATGACCTAGGCTGAAACCAAGAGTTGGACGCTTAACCGACCATGCCACCCAGGTGCCCCAGAACCTTTCATGTTCTTACGCCAGCTAACACCCAGTTCAGTTCAAATGACCTGCCGTTCAGTTCAGTTCCGATACTACCTGGAGTTAGCCTCAGACTCTGCACGTTTAGGTTATAGTCTTGCACAAGACTGCCTCCACTTAAGATGGCAGCTCTAAGTTGGGGGCCACCTGCACTTCTGAGCAACTGGTTATAAATTTGGGGGTCTCATGATCCCCTCTGTTTTGATAACTTGCTAGAATGACCCAGAACTCACTGAAAGCACTCTACTCACAATGATAGTTTTAAAGGATACAAATTAGAAACAACCAGTGGAAAAGACACATAGGGCAAGGTCTGAGAGCAGAGGGGTGGGGAGGAGACTCAAGAGTTTATGTAAATCCAGGCTCATCATCCCCTCCCACCACACCGACTGTTCACTAACGAGGAAGCTCTATTGAACTTGAACATCCAGAACTTCTATTGGGATTTCATTGCATAGGAATGGCTGATTAGATCATTGGCTATGTGACTGAACTCATTCTCCAGCTGACCTCCCTCCCTGTTTCTTTCCCTGGAGATCCAGCTGGCCCAAAGTTGCATTGAATGGTTGGTCTTTCTGATGACCAGCCCCCATCCTGAAGCTATTTAGGGGCCCCACCTGAGTCACCTCATTTGCATAACAATGACCCTTCTGGCACTTAGAAAATGCCAAGGTTTTTTGAAGCTCCCTGCCAGGAACTGGGAACAAAGAACAGATGTATGCTTTGTGATGCCACCAGCCTAGAAACAAAGGTATGAGCACTCAGATCTTGTTTTGTGAATATCATTCTTCACTTAAAGGAACCAGGGCTTCTTAGAGAAATGACTGCTTCCAGGTTTGAGGAAGGGAGAGTAACAGATGGGACATCTTGTTGGGCAAGTAGATGCTCAGTGACTGATGGAGATATGTCAAAAGGACATAGGAACCAGCTTGAAGAATTTCCCACAGGCCAAATTTGGGACAATTTGAGCATGAAAAATGAACATAATGATTATATAATGAACGTAATGGATTCTGTTATATCAAATTAAAAAAAAAAATCAATCCTTGTGCTACTCAACAAAGAGGAGGCACAAGAGAAAGTCTTTATAGAAGGTTTTCAGATAATAAATATAGAAGGCGTGATCGAATTAGAAAATCACTTTTTTTCAATCCCCAGTGTAATAATTGATTTAAGCAAGGATTGGGTGAAATGCCTTTGGGGAACACATAGTCACATAGTCTCAAAATATCATCCCAGAAACTAACCCACGTAGACGTGCCAAAAATAAATAAATCAGTGGGGGGAACATACCCTTTTAGATGTTTTGCTATTTACAATATCATCTGGGATGATATTTTGAGCTGAATTCAGCTTCATCATATGTATTAAAATGGCCTTGTGTCCCTCCTGATATGATGGGTATAGTAAGATGTATACAACATCATCTATATAGTTCTGTGTCAAAAATGTTTAGCCTGAGGGTGCCTGGGTGGCTTAGTCGTTAAGCGTCTGCCTTCAGCTCAGGTCATGGTCCCGGGGTCCTGGGATC